AATTACCTTTGAAGGCATTTATGAAAAAGTCTGTAATCACTCCGGTATTCCTAACGTTCAAATCCACGTATCCTATACTGGATTGACAGAGTGCTGATCGGACTTGTGGAGAGCCGAAGTTACTCCCAAAAACAAAGATTTTTACAAACAGCTATTTACAGTTGCAAGTTCATACATACGTACTGCAAGATAAAATTGATGATAAGAAGTCTTCTTAAAATCATTACACGTTCAAAACGAAAGGGTAGTTGAAGTCAATACTATCAAGAAGATTTGTATGGCTAAGGAATTTCATTGTAAGGTTGTCCGTTAGCAACTTGCACGAAATTAAGAGCCTCCAGTTTGTTAAGTACCGAGTAACGGCAAAACAGGGAGTAATGGTAACATATCGATTGATTTGAAGCAACATTCAACTTACTAAAGCAATATCAGTATTCCAGAAATGGTATGTCAACCAACCTCTGCAGTTGCACCGAAATCGTTAAAGCAACGTGACCCAACAATGCTTCGAAGTATCCATTTATTGGTACGGCTAGCAATAGTGGATTTGTAAGTGAAGCTTGGAATTCGCCAGCAGCTCTAGGATAGTGGCAGTACAACAACGTTATTTAGCTTTATATTGTTTTTGTTTAGCTTAAAACGGATTTTGGAGAGGATTAGTTAGATGATGGTATTGAAATATGAGTTGATAAAATAAAAATTGCAGCTTATTAATTGCATTTTTATTGGGTTGTCGGTCAAGATCGTACTTTTTTTTGAACTCAAACTTACATATCCTTTGATAAAAGTATTCTCCCTATTTAAGATAGTGTACATAGGTGTTTCACTGATTTCAGATTTGCTAAGGTAGGAGTAATTGATATCAATGGTAGTTCAAGCTTTCCATATCAACCATATGTTATCACGCACTCGGAACGCATTTATTTGAGAAGGCCTTGCAAAAAACGAATTGGTAATTCGCCTAAATCCCGTAATTCTCCGCTTGGCCGCCACTTTGTGGTCATTTACCGCATTGCATAAACCGGTCACATATGTTACAGATCATGGAACGAGCTGAATGTTATTAAGCAGCGCCGACTGTTGCTAATCTTGCCTCCTACTGGTTTTGACCAAGTCGTTACTTCATGCGACTGGGCATTTCTAGTGCCTAGCCTATCCGTGAAAGACTCTTACATATAGAATAACGAAGGGATGCGTTTAGTAAAGTGACCAGAGAACGAGCGGCGACTGATACTCTCTTATTTCTTTCATCCTAACTATATCTTACCGTATGTGCATTTTTGACATGCTCCATTGAAACATGTTTGGCTCGATCAGATCCAATGAGTATTCTTGTGGTGGCCAGTATTTGGAGATATGCGCTCCATATATAGAAACCTAAATCAAATTTATACATAATAATTCTTTGGAATAATTCATGAAGCCACTTTTCAAAGTACAAAGGTT